CAGGAAGACTCACAGCGCCGAAAACGGCGGCGTTGGAACCGTCTCGTTGAGATCTTTTCGAAAATGTATCATTTCGTTTATGTATCCTCTTCGTCATCGAGTAATCAAGCTTTGAAAATCGGGCCAGGGGGTGTGTTATCTTGTGTCATATACGGTATGCCCCCGGTCCTGAATTTGGCCTTAAGCTTTGTCCCGGCATCCATTAGTCCATGTAGGTAATCCTTGAACCCTATTCCTTCTTTCCAACATTCCGTACACTTCTAGACCCTCCTTATCCTTGGTTTCTTTCCTTAGATTCTGTTCTTCTCTCTCGGCACAAGCAACAGATATCTTCTCCTTGCACCACCGGAGGACCCTCCGTTTCCAGCGTTTCATCTTCGTCGATGTCTAACCCCTTCCGTACGTCTTCTACAACCTTGACCCATTCCGTGGGTTGTCTACCCCTCTTTTCGTTTGCCCGCTTCGCCTCCCATACTATTCTCGGCAACCTCTCCTCTCCCATCCCGCACATGCGATACTGCCATGTCAGCTTCCTCGCGTCTCTTCCCGACCGTAGGGATTGGATCCCCAATTCTGCCCTGACGGCTGCATTACTTGTGCGCTTGGAGCATCCTAGGATGATTTTCGCTGCTTTCATCTGCGCCGCCTCGAGCTCTTTCACTACCTTCTTATTTCCTTCCCATACTTCTCCGGCGTACTCTAGCGGCGGTACGATTACGCTCTTCAAAACCGCCAATTTGATGCGTGTATCGAGGTGCCGGTTTGCGAGTATTGGGTGCAGCTTCCCTGCTCGTGCTTTGCCCTTTTCCGCTACCTTGGACATGTGTGCATTCCACGAACAGTCGTTTGCGATCTCTACTCCGAGGTATGTGTACTGGTCGACTACTGCAATCTCCTCGATCCCCCACTTCCATCTATGTTCTACTGGTTCCTCCCTGTCCTCGTTGCATACCATGACGGCACTCTTCTTAACGCTGGCAGACAATCTCCATTTATCAGTAAACTTCTTCGCCGCGTCAATTTGTAGTTGCAGTCCCTCAGGGGTGTCCGACATACCAACAAAATCATCCGCAAACAGCATTCCTGACACCGAAGTTTCAGTGCCCCCTACTTTTACTCCCTTCCGGACTGCCTCCACGGCTTCCAACAGATCGTTGATGAACACCTGGAACAATGTTGGGGACAGCGTGCAACCTTGTGGGACCCCCTGCTCAATGTCGAAGAACTTAGACAGTTCTCCGTCTAGCATGACCGCGCTTTTCGCACACTCTGTCATCTTCTTCAGCACTCTCCACATTTTCCCCTTGATCCCGTACTTGGACAATTGTTTCCACAGCCCATTTCTCCATACGGTATCGTCTGCCTTTTTCACGTCCAGGAAGAAGCAGTACGTCGGCTTTCCCGCCCTCTTTCTACCTTGGATGATTCTCCCTACCGTGAATGCGTGGTCTACGCACCCCCTCTTCTGTCGGAAACCTGCCTGGCCCTCACTAATGCTACGTTCCTTCTCCAATACTCCCACTATCCTATCGTTCAGCAACTTACAAAACACTTTTCCTACTGTGTTCAACAGTGTGATACCCCTGTAGTTTCCTGGGTCAGTCTTGTCTCCTTTCTCAAACAAGTTCACAACCACTCCTTCCCTCCATCTATTTGGCGCATACTCGTTTTTCCACACCCAGTTATACAGCAGTACCATCAGCTGGATCATCCCCTTCCCCCCAAACTTCATGAACTCGTTGACTATCCCATCCGCCCCTGCTGCTTTGTGGCACTGCAGCTTGTTCAGACACGCCTCAACCTCGTCCTCAGTGAACTCCTTTTCTAGTTCTACGTTCCCAACGTCTGCCTTCGATGTCTCTTCTTTTTTCTGGGCCCATGCGTCCACCTCCTTCTTAAACACTTGGTCAAAAGCTTCATTCTCCGAAGGCACTCCAAGTCTCTTGTAGTGTCCTGCTAGAACTTCCCTTTTTCCCTTCCCACTGCTGACTAGTCCACCGTTCACACCTCGCAAAGTTGCTACCCCTGTATCCCCCCCATGCGCAGTCTTTTTTACCATCCCACTAATCCCTTCCCCTCCAGGCCTCCGTTGGCCTTCTGCACTACTTCGTCCCAAATGCACTTTTTCTTCTTGTTCACTAGTCCCTTCACCTGTTTCCTCTTGGCCCTGTACTTTTCCCAACTCTCCTCAGACCCCTCACTCAGGTACTGCTTGAAGACTTCTCTACGTTCCCCTATTTCTTCTTTCAGCTCGTCATCCCACCACTTAACCGATACCCCACATCGTACCACCTTCTTTCCCACTACTCTCTCTGCCGTTATGTTCACTATGGACTCCCATCCTGCAATCACCCTGTCCCCTGCTGCTTGTACGTCTACCTGTCCGTCTTCGACACTTCTCAGCAGTTTCCTGAAGGGTTCTACACTACCAGCCAGTCCTTTCTGGAATTCATCCCGTGTCCCCTCGTCTCCCAAACGCTCTACTTTCCACCGGAACACTTTCCTCTGTTTCTTACTCTCCATCTTTCTAGATCGGTCGATGTTTGCCCATATGAGGAAATGGTCTGCCGAACCTATATCTATCGCACTTACGTGCAGCTCTGGGATCTGTGTGTTTCCCCTATCTACCAGGATGTAGTCGAGGATCGAGTATTCATTGCAAACTGCCCTTTGCCTGGTGAACTCCGGCTTATCGCATTCCCTCCTACCGTTCAACACCATCAGCTCGTTGCTTCCCAAGAATTCAAGCATCCTCACTCCGTTGTCATTCACTTTGTCTTCTCCGTGCTGCCCGATTCGCCTGTCCTCTACTGGAAGCCTTCCCTACTCTGGAGTTGAAATCGCCCACCATGACAACTTCTCCCTTCCTACTGAACCTCTGGACATCTTCTCCAATTTGTCCGAAGTTCTCCTGCGCCTTGCTTGCGACTTTCTTCGACGACGGTGGGACGTATACGTTCCCTAGAAACAAATCTTTCTCACCCCGCTCCCCAGGTATCTTAAGCCATAGGCTTTCCTCGAACTCCGTTTTCACCACTACTTCCACCACGTCAAACAAGTGTTCCTTGACCAGGAATCCGACTCCCCCCTCCCCCCTTTTCTTCGGGTCTAAGCCCTTTCTTGCCTTCCCTACCCACCGGTATTTCCCTAGTTTGCTTACCACGTCCCCATCCTTCAGTTCCCACGTCTCTTGGATCCCCACTACATCTAGATCGCTTTGTTCTATTTGGTCCACTATTTCCAACCGCTTGCGCTCACTCCTTGCGAACCCGCACACGTTCCACGACCCCACTCTCAGCTTGTGCTTTTCCCTATTGGAGATTTTGCGCACTCTATCCTTCGCCTTCCGCTTCTTCTCGGCGTTCTTCTGATTTGCCTGCTCGTCTCCCCCGCCCGGTCCCTTCTTCGCCTCTATCGCCCTCGCCTCTTGTCGCCTTACCTGCTCTGTTTCTATCATGTTCGCAACGCAAACCCTCCATCCAAACTTCCTTACGTAGTTCGACATCTTCTCGATGTCAACCCCCAAGCACTCTTGGCTGTCTCCCTTGGTCAATTTCACCCGGAAATGTTCATGCTCTCTGCCTACTTCTCCCCTTGCTAGGCAATGCAGTCCCTCCCTGTCACAACAGTTCTTGAACTCTATCCTCGTCATGTCCCTTGGAATCCCAAACAGCAGCAGCTCCATCCTGTCTCCCTTCCACAGTTTCTGCTTCCATCCTCCCTGCTTCTTCACCATCCTCATGATCTCTACAGCAACTGGACCGCGGCCACTTGTTTTTCGTGTTTTTTCAGGAAGGTATACGGAATACTCGGCCTTCCCATTCCGAGTGTCCGGTGGGGGTTGTGGTTCCTTTCAGTTCTTTTGCCGGCTCACCGACGCTAAATAGCGCCTCCAACATGGGCTCGTAGTCTAGATCCAAGTTCACACCTCCTGGCACAAGTACCCCCGTCTTGTGCCGGGCGCTCTTCTTAGTAAATACCCAGACGTCCCCCGACCACCCAATTTATCATCTCCGAAGTCCCGCGGTACAAGCTACTTTCCTCCTGGGAGGTCATTTTCACCACAATAAGTTCAGGGACGACTTGCATAGCCTAAGATCCTACTCACACGCCGGGATGGAGCGTACACCAACGTCCAGCTTCTCATGTACCCTCCACCACGGGGGGGGGGGGGGGGGGGGGGGGGGGTTTCCTTTTTACTTAAAAATCCTGGGTTGGGCCGCCCCCAGGGGGGGGGGGGGTTTTTTTTAGAAAAAAAATTTTTTGGGGGGGGGGGGGGGGGGGCCCCCCCCCAAAATTTCAAAAAAAAAATTTAAATTTTTTTTTTCCCCCCCCCCCCTTCAAAAAAACCGGGGACCCCCCCGGGGGGGGGGCTCAAAAAAAAAAAAAACCCTTTCCTCTCCCTTCCCCCAAAAAAAAAACCTTTTTTTACCAACCCCAATTTTTC